TGTTTTTTTTCTTCCGATCAAACGTTTGAATTTTTAAAATCCCTGCAAAAGTAATGTGAAGATTTCATTTTGTTGCCAACCAAACAACCTCTTGGTAAGAAATAGATGTAACTGATTTGTGCTTATACAAGATAGATGTACCAAATAAAATGGTTGATAAAATGGATATCTTAAGGATATAAGGAAGAAAACTGTGGACCAATCAGAATAAATTTGATATCCTGTATAGTGATGAAAATGATTGTATAATTTCTGTAAGCCTTGGAATAATATGCATATTATTGATGATTAACCATGTATGTAATTCAAGGCAATGTAGATGAAGTAAATGGACTTAAAATGTAATTGCATGCATATTTCTATTTTCCACGTAGTACTTACAAAAATGCAAGCATGAATAAATTTGATACCCTTAATAGTGATTAAAGGAGGATTTATAAAGTTGCACGGAAAAAATTTTTTAAACTTAATAATGATGAAAGGAGGGAGAATTCATAGAGCTGGAACTGAATAGTTGGGATATGGCTTGTAATGATTATGATACCATTAGGCCGTGGAATAATAGGCTTAATATTGATTTTTAACCATGCATCTAATTCAAATCAATGAAGGTGAAGTAAATAGAGCCAAAAATGTAATTTTGTAATATTTGCGTTTGCCACGTAGTACTTACAAATATGCAAGCATGAATGTCTGCTTTTGATGTCTTCATTTTTCAATGCACGACAAATTCGTAACAAGCTTTGTATCTAAAGAACTTTTATTGACGTGTACTTTTCAGAGCCGTGCACAACCTGCAACAAAATTGAAGAAGATTATTCAGGATACAAAAGATGTTATGATTGAATCTGATATAAGGAACAGAATGCAACCTCTGAAGGATCAACTCAACGAGACTATAATTCATCTTCATACTATTTTGGAGGTCCATATATTTGTATCATTATGCAGATGCTTCTGGGATAGGATGGGACAGGTATGTCACATAATTCTACTGTTGTATTTATTTTACTTCTAGTGGTGGTTGCTAATCATTTTAAATGGTTGTAGGATGTCCTAAATTTTTTAGAAGATCGAAAAGAAAACAGATCTTGGTACAAAAGTGCAAGAATAACTGTTGCTGTAAGTAATGCTCATATTATCATGATTTCTGGATCTCCTTACATACGTTGCTACGTCCTTTTATATTGGTTTGTTTCGTGTGCCTTATCAAATCTCAAATCAGAATAGATCTAACCCAAAACTATTTTTTAGGGGGGCATTTACATGTATACTACTCAATTTTTATGTTTTTACATATCTAACACGAACTTTGCTTTTTAAATTTATACCACCGAAATCTTTCATATCATGACAAAAATATCACTAATTTAACTCTTAAAAAGTGAAATGCACCTATGTAAGGTGGTGTTTAGGTAAAAATTGAAGTTTAGGTGTTAATACTTCCACTTATATATACAAATACGTTAGAATTGAGTTGTATGTATGTAAATCTTCCTCTTTTTTTTATTAACAGCCGATGTAAGTGTTTTTGATTCAGCGTGTTGGATTAACCCTTGTGGAAGAGTTTCTACATTTATATTCCACTGTTGCTATATTTCACCTCAATCAGGTTGGTAACATTTTGGAGATTTAAGTAGCAGCAAATAATAGTAGATCAGCAACCTTAATCACCCTTAGTTAATTTAACTTCGATAATACCGGAAGAAGGGTCATGTTGAGAGGAAGCGATACCTCCAACTTTTGGAAGTGTAGTTTGAGGAAGCAACTTCTTGAAACATTGTTTGATTTTATAGGAGTCTAACAATTCTAATAAATTTATCATAATGTATATAGGTATATTATAATTTACAAATACACATTCATTGCATACTATGTCATCACATCACATTGTGGTCTTTAGCCTTATCGCAAGCCCTAACAATTGGGCTCAACTTTATGAAATTTTTTTTCTCATGGTCGTATTGTGTGTTTTCGAAGGCTATAATTTGCAAATTATTTTTTGTAACTTCTATATATGCAATTTTAGATCTACTATTTTTTTCACTAATTTTATCTATTCATTTAATGAACTTTTCTTTTACCATTCCTTGTACAGGTTAAAACCATGCAAGTCTATTTCAACTAGTTTTTGTTTTGATAGATGTCACTCCAGTCATCCCTCTAATATAACCATTTTTTTTCTTTTGTCACACATTCATCTAAATATTATCTTTTATGTTGCACCGTACTTGGATGTTAAAATTTTTTTTTATTGCCCAACTATTAGATCCATGTGACATTCTTTGCTTAGTTGTAGCTTTATAAAGTAACCTTTTCAAGGATATCACTTTATCACACAAAACTCCTGATGCATTCTCAATTCTTCTATATTAGAAATCCAATATATGCAAGATATGTAAAATTATAAGTAAATACCACTCAGGTTATATTGAGTTTATATTGTAAGAATATGCATATATAATATATTCTACTTCTAAGTACTTGTAAATATAATGCATATACATTCCACCACATAAATATATGTTCCTTAAATCTTGAAAGTGTTGTATGTATTTCAACTATATAATAATAATTTAAAAGAATTTATACTTTATAGTAGTTTATTTTTATTTTGTATTTGAAATCAGTTATAATATTATAGAATCAACAAATTACACATCATTTATTTTAAGTTGTATCATTTTAGCATATATTGTTAAATATGCATTAAGTATTAATAACATTTATGTAAATTTAATGCATATTATAATATAATGTCATGAATTGTGCTATTTGATGGTTTATATGAAGGGATGTGTGGATCGAAGTGACTATAATTCTAATAAAAATATAAGTATCGTATTTAATCACTTTTGGAAGTGTTTCAATGAGCCCGAAGTCGAAGGCTTTGAATTATACCCTAAAGAACTCACCAACCAAAGAAATGCATTAGCGGTCTACTTTCTTCCACTTCCTACCCTCTTTTTTTATTTGTAACCAATATCAGCTTAGCAAGTTTAATTTACACCTTGAGCAATATTGACTTAACCCACCAATTATCTGTTCTGTTGTTCAATTCAAATCATATTCACTTCTCATAAATCATAATATAGGTTTTCCTTGTAGTTTTGCTTTAGCATCGCAGGTTTTTCATGGTCAAATATCGATTTTATCTTTGAGGGTTTGTGATTAGATCCTTTTCCTAGAATTTTTATGTTTATTCCAGAGTCCTTAGAAAGTTTTCTAACTTAATTTTGATAATCATTAGATCATATTCTACAATAAGAAGGTTGCTTTTGTGTGAGTGTTAAAACGAGCTTAGATGAAATTGAGTTAATTGCAAGTTAACATGGAATAAACCTATCCATACTCTTGCATAATAGAATTTCTATGTGAGGATCAATATAGTATGTTAAAAATAAGATTATAAACACGTAGATGTCATATTTAGTTTTATTTGTTGTAGATTCTATCAAAGTTAAAGCATCTTGTTCTATGTAAAATTGAGTTTTATCTTTCCTAAATCACACTTTTGGAGTAATATCCCTCAGCATAAAAAGCTTCAGCAAATTTATTCCAAATTGTTTATTTTGGACTAAGGATCTGTTTGGGGCAGTTATAGCTTATTAAAAAGCCGTTGTTAATAATAATCTGATGCTCAAAAAGCTGCGGTGAATATTACAATTATTTTTTTAAAGTCAGACCTCAACTGGAAAGCTGCCACCACACTTAACCAGGAGTGGTGGAAAAACACAGGTTTCAATAGCAGTTTTTTGAAAAAGCTGTCAAAACGCAGTTTACCTAAATAGACAAAACTACCTTGCGGTGTCACACCGCTACCGCGCCGCTGCCCTAAATGAACCGTAAAGAACTTCCAATCGGAGATGGAAATTCGTTAGAATGTAGGATGAACAATATCCCTTTTTTATTGATGTGAATTATTGTTATTTATTATTATTATTATTTAATTTGCTTAAATTGAGCTTAGGGACTATTTGGTTGCTTGAATGACTGTATCGTAACTGGACGTAGATGTTTTTAAGATTTTGGTATTTAGTTGGATGAAAACGGAATGCTATGTAAACTATAGTGGATTTGAAATTCACAATGCTGTTCAAAACTGGTGTATGCCAAATTTGTTAAATTGGAGTTTTTTTTCAAATACATTGCGAACTATGGCTATTTCGCCATTGCATCCCCCACCTACCCGCCTCTTATTTGCCGCTACCGGTCGTGCTTTACAAACATTGATTTCATATTTCTTTAAACCAAAAAAAAAAAAAAAAAACTCCTACATTTATGTTAACACCAAATTAAAGAACTTCAAAATACTCTTAAATATACCACATTTCAATTACATTATATTTTTTATATAGCTTTTCTATTTCAACAAACCAAACAACCCCTTAGGTTGGGTTGTTTCACAAGTTGATTAAGATAGGATATTTCCATTGATGTTGAGAGAAATTCGTTCTAACTTGGTTCAAATTCAATCCTTGTTCGTACATCTTCAAACTTCCTTTCAAGTGCACGCCATTTGAACCAGCTTTTTCAAAGATACCATTTACTTTATGCTTGAAATTGTAAACTAAAACGTTCTGAAAATTAAATTTATTTTATATTTTATCTGGATTACTGAGTCATCTAATCTGTTAGAATTAGTTAAAAAAACACTTTCGTCGATGGTGCAGATTTTGGACGATACGTTTGCTTCGCAGATGCAACAAGTGCTTGGGAACGCACTGCAAGCAAAGGATTTGGAGCCTCCAAGGTCGATCATGGAAGTTCGTTCAGTTCTCTGCAAGGATGCTTCCACTCAGAATGATTCAAATTTCTACTACTAGAATTGTTCAACACATCAACATAAATAAGTACCGAATGGAGCTTCAGATTCAACACTTATGTCACAAAATGGTCTTATTGTAGCAGTTGGCGAGAATTTGAGAGCTGCTTATCGATGCAAATATTTGTCTTTTTGTTGGCTCGGTGATATTGAAGATTCATTCATTCAGGTCTTCAAGAAAGGCTCCAAACACTGTATGAGAAGAAAAATGGCGGAGGGATTCATTCAGCTTTTGCTCACTGAGTTGTGTAGATAATATGTGAGTCTTCTTCATATAATGTGCGGCCAGAAGTTTTGAAAGGAAGATTTTTGTTATATTTTTGCATCGTTTTAAGAGAAATGGTTTTGTTGAATGGGTTCAGTCGTCAGGATTTACTTAAGGTGGGTATTTATGAAAAATGTCATAGCTACAGTTATTTATTTGACATCAAGAAGCCTGGTCAGGTTATGACTATAATTCTTTTAAATTAATAGTTAGGTTTTTGCTTGATGACCTTTCTTTTAATATATCATATAAATCTTATGTATTATCACATCTAACACCTAAAAGTTTGATTTGTACATCAATAACTTAAAAATGTGTGTTACTTGTTAAAAATTAGTAATAGTGATATGAAAGATTTAATTGTTCTAAATGAAAATTAAAAATTTGGTGTTAAGACATATAAATATTTAGGAATTCTGTGGTATGTATGTAAATTGCCTCCATTAAGAGAAAAAAAAAAAAATAACATAACAAAATTCTTGAATGAATCAGAAATATATAAGATTTCACAAATATTTGTATAAGTTAAGCAAATATATATATACAATAAGCACTCCAGAAAGAATGCCAACAAATCATATTTTTGTTAGTATCATTTACATGAGAGTAGCATACCTTGAAATAACTAAAAAATAATCTTACAATAACAACCTGTGTTATTCTAGGTTGTTATTCCAAACAATGCCTAAGCCTGTGCAGCGGCACCCGTGTTTCATAGGAACTTTGATACGGCCCGGTAAGATGATAGAATTGCCACTGACGCCGCCTTTATGATCGCCGGGTTTTGATATATTCTGAAAACAATAAATAATAATAATAATAATAATAATAATAATAATAATAATAATAATAATAATAATAATAATAATAATAATAATAATAATAATAATAATAATAATAATAATAATAATAATAATAATAATAATAATAATAATAATAATAATAATAATAAAAGCAAAAATGATTAATATATTTTTGAAATAATTATTTTGAATGTTTTTAAAATAATCATAGACACAAATAGAACTGTCAAAACGGCTCGTTGTTCGCGAACAACTCGCGTTCGGCTCGTTAAGAAGCTCGTGTTC